TTACAATAAAATACAATCTGCGCCAAATTCAAGACTTTCTCTGTAAGTCGATAGCGGCACAGAGAAGATTGTGCTATGGAGATCACATCATCATCAGTCTTGATGCAGGAGGAAGTGGTTATCTTTGATTTGCACTGTTCCTATCTTGATCTTAACTTCTACTTCCAAACTCTACATGTGTGAGGCTGACAAGAGACTGTGTTATGCATCTTTGCCAACAATGATTTATCAACCATGCAGTCTTAATTTTAGAGTACTGTATATGTGGACAGATAGCTTTGTGACACACCGTCTTTGAAAGTACTAAGTGGTGCTTTTAAAACAGAAATCAGAGGAGACTTTCCAACTACAGATTGAACCAACACTGCCATCTTCAGGCCTAGCTAAATGCAGAATGCCATGTTTGTTATAAACAATTGTTATAAATAATTTTGCACAAATATTAAGAAGTTGCATGAGACTTTGTTTAAAACTACTTTAAATAAAACACACATAATCAGAGGTGAGAAGTAACAAATTACAAATAATTACTGTACTTAAGCAGAATGATCAGGTATCTGTAGTTTACTTGTTTACTTTATTTTTCTGACATTTGTTTTTAACTTTTACTCTCATTTTTAAACAAATATCTGTACTTTCTAGAGCTGGTATTTTTCACTTTTACTTGAGAAGTTGAATCAGTACTTCAACTTTTACTGGAGTATTTTCAAACATAAGTATATTTACTTCTACTTACTTTACTTAGATTTTTTTCCACTAATGTAGCACCAATACTGTTCTCTTGTGGTCAACACGCGCAATAGAATTTTCTGTATGAAAGTTGCTCTCTTTTTAGGTGAGGAAGCAATTTGTGCTATGCGAGTGGTCGTTTTACTCTCTCTTTTGAATGTTTTTCAGAACACAAGACTGAAGACTCACCTCTTTCTTTTAACTCTTTTATGGCAGGCTTTTTAGTTAACATGGAGTGAAGTATGGCTGTGTGGCATATCTGTGGATATATGCGGGCCAGCTGTTTCAGTTCTCTGAGTGATTGACATATAAAATAATTGAAGCATCTGACTTCAAATGATCTAGAAAAACTGATAAATTGTATTTTGAATCCTAATCTATGGGTAACATGATATGTTACCTTATGAGTAATAAGAATGTGTTTGCTTTATACACACAGTAGATCAATGAACACCTGTTGTGGAACAAAGATGCAAAACACAACACATACTGGTTCGTATAGCATTCACACTCCAGCTGCCAATGAAGGGGATTAATTTAACTTTCCAGCAGGTGGTGCATGTGTGCTGTAACACTTAGTGGGGACTTGGAACCTAAAAAAAGTCTTAGAAAGTCTAAGTAAACCCAACAAACTGTGTCTGTCGACTCCCTCGTCTCACCCACAAAAAGTGAGCTAAAAATGTCAGACTTGATGTTCAATCAGGATGGTCTCCAGTAACTCTGTGAAACACCCTGGAATCATTTTTGACCAGGGTGTGACATGTCCTTTAGTGCACAAATTAAACAAATGTTACTCACATATGAAGGCTGGATGTCTTGAGAAGCATGGCAGCACAGGGATTAGCACTACTGCCTCACAGCAAGAAGGTCCTAATTTCTAGTCCACCATCTGGCCAGGGCCTTTCTGTATAGAGTTTCATGTTCTCACTGTGTACTCTGGCTTCCTCCCACAGTCCAAAGTGGGGATAGAATAGAGTTGATTTTAAATTGCCCATGCCTGTGAGTGTGCATGCAAATGGTTTCCTGTTTTTCTGTCTTAGCCCTGCGACAGATTGAGTCCAGTGTATCCCACCTCTTCCCCTAGTTGGGATAAGCTCCCAGTCCCCTGTGAATTGAATAAGGGAAAGAAAATGGCTTTGTGCAGATCATCTTATTTTTTCCTTCATATCACTTACAAATTCGTGAATGATCAAGTCATACCATAGATGGAAAGTATGGTGTTTGTGTGTGTGTATGTACAGTACTGTGAAAATGTATTTGCCCCCTTCCCGATTTCTTATTTACATATTTACATGTTTCAGATCAAAAAAATGTAATATTAGACAAAGATAACTTGAGCAAATACAAAATGCAGAGTTTTTTTTAAATGAACTCCCTTAAGTAAATGAGATTTTTGATACCAGAAATATATAAGAAATCTTCACTTCAAACAACAGAGACTTGCGGTTTCGTGAAAATACTGTAAAGCCACAACCTTCTTTGCAATTAGGAAAAATCGATGGTTGCAGTGAACAAAACTGCGTTCATTGCAGTAAATTTGAAAGTGCTGTGGTCTCCAACCACTGTTTCCCACTGTGACTGTAGCATTATTAATCACAGTCATACTGTTTATCACCTGTTTTACTACAATACTAACCACTGAGATGATGAACTCCATTCAAAAGGGGTTCAACGGGTCAAATATGAAGCGAGCAGCATGGGTCACAATCAAGGTTGTGGAAAAAATATCTGTTGCTCTCACTGTTATCTGGTGGCAAGGACGTAGATTTGGCATGGACGGAAGGGACGTGTCCCCACCAATATCCAGCGATTATTGAGTTGTCCCCACCAATAATTTGATCTCTTCGAGTAAAGAAAAACAAACCCGATAGAAAGAAAAAAACGATCTCTCAACGTCTCATTTTCCTAGCAGTGGAGAAAGAGTTAAATTACGTCATACCTCATGTGACAAATATGGCCAATGTGATTGGCTGTGCCTTTCAGGGAGCTCTGTTTAGTTTTAGCAGTGGCAAACCTGCGCTGCGAGGACCTGCAAGGAGGAGAGGAGGATGGCAGCAAAAAGGAAGAACCTGGATATAAGAAAGTATTTTTCAAAGAAACCTGTAAGTCACTTAAAGCCAAGTTAACTTATAAAATGTGTCTGTCGTAATAACGTTACAGGCTATGCTAGGCCATACATGCCAACCTTCCCGATTTTACCGGGAGAATCCCGAATTTCAGTGCCTCTTCCGGAAATCTCCACCATTCTCCCGAATTTCTCCCGTTTTTCCACCCGGACAACAAAATTGAACAGTATCCCAGATTGGCCAAGCCAATTCCAGTTTCCAACAATGGCTACTACTACTGCAGCTACTTAGTTTTAATATTACTCTTATTACTCTTTCTGGGTCGCAAAATAAACTTTTAACATATTTTCAGGCGTGAATGTAGCTGTGTAAACTTCAAATATCTGAGCCGGGGAGAACAGCAAACTCCCGGTGTTCCAGATTAACTGGCGCTTAGATTAACTGGATTTGGTCGAACAGATGTGTGGCAGACTTGCATTTCAGGAGCTGCTCCTGACAAACCAGCAAAAAAAACGCCAATCAGAATCAGAATCAGAAAGGGTTTTATTGCCAAATGTTGAGCAGGTTTACAACATTAGGAAATTGCTGCGGTGCTTCAGTGCAAACATACTGTCATAAAAATATAAAAATAAGAATAAGAAT